ACAATAAATATTTTTTTTTAAATTACTGCAGACGTAGGTGTTACAGTCCCTTGTGTCATGGCGTTTTGGGAACATTTCAGAGGTGAACCTTAAGACTGATACCATCTGTCAGAATATTTTCAAATTTTTCCATTCTCTAGAAAAATTCCTACAGCTTATATTATTGGAAGATAATGTCTGTATGTGCACCTCAGAGTTGGTTTTGCCTGTGATGGCAATGACAGTGGCATTAAATACAAATGTGATTTGGTTCATATGGGGTTGCCATTCCAGGTTAATTCTTTCCTAGCCCTGGTAATAGAAAGTTGTATATGGCAGAGACATTCTCTACAGAACCTGCAAAAGGAAGTCAGATTCCTGTGTGTAGGAAGGAATGGCCTATTTATGAGGAAGCGATCAATTAAAGAGAATTTTTTTTTTGGCCAGTATTGTTCTTTTGTAATAATACTGCCTATGGTTCTCTTTTTAGTTTCAGAAATTTTCAGGGTTTTTCAGACTGCGCTTAAATACTGACTTGTGCAAATATTGCAGTACTGTACTGTCTGACTACACAAAGATGATATGACTATGTAAAACAAGTGAGCCTGTATTTTTGACAAAAACAGGCAATCCATATATGCACTGAAGGGGAGTAAAAACTTGACAGATGTAATTTTGCTATAAAACTCGTAACAGATTATAGAGTGTTAACCTCTTGAGGTTTTTTCCCTACTGGATGTTTTTGGAGTTACTTGACTTTGTGTTTTAAACCTCCTTTATTATAAATGGTAGCTGAATGACTAAATAATCCACTTAAGCAGTGTGTATGTCACTCAAACTGTGGAAGTGAAAGATGCTGAGATGCCAAATACTCCTGCTGCTTTGCAGCACTCTTTCTGTTGCTGTGTAACAGGGAACAGCTCAGGGAATGGAAAAACTTGCTTCCCTCAACTTGTGTCTGATAGTTTCTTTCTGCACTACCCTAAGATGGTCCCTCCTCAGGTCCTCAAGAGTGGAATTTGTTATTCTGTGTCCTTCAGTTGCATTTCTAGAGTTAAGTTTCTCATGCTGCTCCTGGCATCTTCCACTAAGTAAGGGGGTCAAAGCAGCATGAAAAGGATGTAAAAATTCTGCATTTGTTAATGGGAAAATTTTCTCAGCACAGGAATGGGGGGAAACTATGGCCACAAGACTGTCTTGTGAGTCTGACATAAAGGGCATGCCAGTGGAGGGCAAGGAGTGGTGGCATGGCCCATGGCAGGCTGGGAGCGCCGCAGTGGGGTGCAGAATTGAGTAACTCCCATTCTCAATATTGTCAGTAGCAGCCCTGTGCTGGGAAGGAACAAGGTGTTCCAAAGCCCTTTTAGCCTTCACTCTGCTGGTGTGCTCCTTCCTACTGATTTCTGCTATGCTTTGAATTGGTTTATGGCTCAGTTGGCGGGGTGTACAAGTGCATAACTTTAAATGAAGATTATTTTTTTTTTTTTTTTTAACTCTCAGTTAAAATTTTGTCTGTTAAAACTCAGGGTTTTCTAGTTGAAGCTGTGAATCAAACAGTTTGAACCTGACTGATCATGCTTCTGGACAGCAATAGCTTGAAAACTACACAACCCTTTTCTGTCCAGTTCACTGCTAGATTTTATTAACTAAACCAGCTCCCATCACAGCATCGCAGTGTGAACTCTCCTTAGCGCCAGCCAAGCGGTGTGAGAGACCCAAAGCTGTATTTCCATGACAGTTCATTTTTAGATCATGTGCTCCACACCCAACATTTGAACTGATTTCTCTTGTGTACCCTCATGTGAACATATTTCCAAAAGAAATCTGCACATTGGGATGTGAGTAAATAAAGGTTGCCATTCATAAATGTTGGCTGTCTCTATCTGTGCCTCCTTGTGTGCAGTCAGTAGTGCTCAACTGAGAGTTGCTAGTGCTATAGGAGAAAGCTGCAATAAATGTCGTATGAATGTGCTTTTCAAGTGAAGGACATAATATAGAACATGCAAACAGATCAGACATCAGCAAAGCAGAAAGCAGTAATGAGAGAAATTAACAGTGGAGACATTAGGAAATTATTTGAAGGGGGGAAGAATGATGCTTTAGAGGAAAGCAACACTTGCATAGCACATGAAATTACATATTAAATTTCTACACTATGAAGATGGTACTCATGAACATCACAGATTTTAAAACTGAGGGTCAGACATCCATTCATTCTCTTTTCCTTTCAAATATCTGCGAACTCTCTTTTCTCTCTAAGAAGTTACCTGTATATTGTGTTTCATTGCTTCTCTATCTCATCTTGTATTTACAGAATATTCAGCTAGCACAGTGGAATTTCTCTGTGTGAAAATGTAACTGAACCAAGAGAGAAAGCCTGAGTTAGGATGACAGGAATAGTATCAGGGTACATGTAGAAGAGCTGGTATAAAGAGAAATAAGATGTGGTTACATGTTGTTAATTTAATTCACATCAGAAAAGGAGCATGAAAAGGTTACATGTTTAGGGTCACCTCAAGGGAAGACATCCAGCTAGCTTTCTGCTTCTATCCAGAAGACAGATTAGAGAATTATGTAGGCTTTAGCCACAGCATCCCATTTGGAAGTGAGACTCTGCTCACATTCTGTGTGACAAAAGCCATTTATTCCTGGCCAGGTGTTTTAGAAGAGACTTTTCTTTGCCATTCTTTCAACTAAATATAGATCAGCTGAGGACTGAAAAATCTATGTATAGTATCTCTGTAAAGAATGTTGAAACCTATAAAAATGCAATGGTGTTTGTGTTTGCAAATATAAACACTTAACTGGTTAATGTTGTTGATCCCAATTCAGTGTATCAGTTTGTATGTCATGGACTTCGATAAGCCACAGCAAAAATCCTGTTAATTTGAGAACACAAAAACCTGAGTAATCAAGCAGTCAATAACTGGTCTTTCAGTTCATTTCCTAATGTATGTGTTGTATTTATCTAAATAAATCTGAGGCTTCTCATCATCCCAAACTACTAATACTATCAGAATATCCAGATTCTGAAAGAATCTTTTATTTAGCAAGTTCTTATGTAGGTTTTTATAATTAACTTAAGCTAAAGAGATGTAGGATCATTATTTTTGCCTTTTTAGTTCTTACAACTATCCCTTCTTTCAGTAAAAAAGTTCTTACACTTACTGGTTTTGCTATTCAGAGAAAAAAAACTTTGCTGGTATTAAGATGAGAGAACAGACACTACAAATGTGTGTGCATAAAGAGAAGCATTGTAAAGTACCTGATACACTAAATCAAACAGTGTAGAGATTCACTTTTTTAAGTGAAGATATATGTAACCAGAAAAACTATTTCCATATTAAGTGCTAATACTTTACATAATTACTGTTAATTACTGTTACCAATAATTTACAATATTGCTATTAATATTCTTAAAACTTAAGGTGATAGTCTAACTCACACATTAATTTCGTTTTCACTACAACAGGGTCCCAGTTAAAACAACTGGCAAGTTAGCCCAGTAATGCATAAAAGTTAATCCAGTAAAGGTTCAATTGAGACGGTGTTCTAGATCCTTTACATAAGTATGGTAAGAAACAGTCATTCCCCCAAAAGGCTTCCAATCTATGCAGGTAAAAGATGATGGGAAAGGAGATTTCAGTTCAAGGGTGTAAAATGAGCACTCTAAAAAGCTAAGTGAGGTAACAGGGGAGTCTTTCTCTCAATGTGGGCATGCCCAAACTCAGTCTCTTTCTTCCTTACCTCCGAGGATGATGAGTATGGTGTGCTGGAAAAAAAGATTTATTTTATGCAGATTGTAAGTTGAAGAAATTAGTTTTGCTTTCAGTTCTGAATATGGATATTCACTCAGTGCAATAATGCAGGTCAGTTCTGAGGATGTTTTGCCTCTCTATTTGAGTGTTTCCCATTGCTTGACAGTTTTGTGCTTTCAGTAGGAAGTAGCAGCCCTGGGAAGGGGAGCACTTTGCTGGGGAGCTAAGCCCTAACTCTTTACTCCAGGGAGTTGTAGTGCAGAAAGCAAAGGACGTATTGGGGGTGGGCTGAAGGGGTGTCTAACAAGAAGAAAAATCGTTAATTGTACTATCTTTCTCCAAATAAGTTCCCAGTCTCATGAGTGAACCGTCAGTCACAAGCGGTATGTGTGTGTAATTTCAATAGAACATATGCCTCCGTTACCATCTCGAAGAAGGAATTAATCTGGTATTTAATGGAAACTGTTTCATCACATTGCATTTTCACATCTAATTCCTGGCATTTCATACCAAATGAGTTCCTAAAATTGAGTTTCCATATTCCTCTCAGCTGAGTTGGCAATAACATTCTGTTTGCTGTGAGTGTGATTTGCTTTGGTTTCACAGAGCTGGGAGTTTGGAATCCCACTGTGCAGAGAACTGGCCATACAGTATGAAAGTCTCTATGATTATCAGAGCCTCAGCTGGATTCGGGTAAGTAGCAGCAGTTCCTCTCCTTGCAGACTCCCATGTCATTCCCCAAGGAATTTTGCTCTCCTGTCAGAACATTCTGAATTTAAAAAATAATCATACTCCCTATATAGCTCCATGCATTTACAGTGACTCCTTTGCCATTGATTCATTTCAATGACTTCGTAGGTCCACTGAAGTAATTCCGAAGTCTGCAAGCAGTAAAATCCCATGACTATATGGAGATAGCACACCCACAGGAGCTGGGCTTGCTATTGCAATTGCATATTTATATATATTTTTGCATAAAGTATTTTTTTTCCTTTTTAAAAAAAAATTATATATTGGTATTTCATTTTAATTCCAAAAATATCAAGGACTGCTTCTGCCTCAGTTGGCATAAGAGGAACAAGAGAGAAAGAATGGAGAAGGCAAACATTTATGGCATTCTTGTCAATTTACAAGAATCTGGTCCTCTGGTAAAACCAAACACGTGTTGAAATCAGGGCACATTTGCAGCATTGTGTTTTAATCAGGAAAAAGTCCAAGTTCTGGTTGTTATTTAAAAGCTTTATGGATGTGAAAATAGTTCATCTGCTTTTGTCCCCTGGGGTAGAATGCAGATATCCAAATTTAAGATTTATGCTATGTGGATGTATTCTCATACACAGTGGTTTAAATTCTCTTTAAAAGTCAAATTTATTCTCATCTGAAGGTGTCTGTCTAACTAGGTCTCATGAACTGCACTTCTGAAGAACTTGTTTTCTTCAAAGTGGCTCTAAAGAGAGTACGGGGGTGACCACCTTGGTTGTGCACTTGTTTATTGAAGACATTTGAAATAGAGCAGTGTGAAAATTTATCCTGGTGTACAGGAAATACCATATCGGTAAAGTGATCATGAACGATGAGCAAACAAACTTATTAAAGGCTTAGTCAAGTCGTGCCCCAAGACTTTCTTTCCTAAACCATCAGTAAATTAGGTATTCTTGCTGCCTCTTTATTATTTGGATTTAATCAGCTGGCAGGTGAAGAGCATCTCAGCTATCAGTATAACCAGTTCACCTCATCCTTTCGCTCACCTGCGTGTGATCTGTTTTCTGTTCGAGTTTCCTCAATCTGTGTTGACCTGAAATGACTTGGATTTCTCCCCACTGTAAAGAGTTTTTCTCTATGCCGTTCACATCATTCAACACATTCCTTATTTTTCCTGCAATGACTTTGGGACCTTCTCCATTTTAGAAAAGGAGTTAACATGTGTGTGAATCAAGAACAAAATCTTGATGCAATATTCTAAGTCAAAGCTGTTAGGGTTCCCTGCAGTGGAAGCAATGATGTCAAACTGATTCTTCTCTTTAAAAAGCTATCTTTTTGCTATAGTGAAATTCCTGTAAGCTTTTCAACTGAGATTCAGTTTGGCAAGGGGTGTTGAAATCCCACTTGATATAAATGCTAGCACAGTGCCACGAAACTAATAATTGCAACTAGAGAAAAGTCCTTTTACTTTTTCCAAACACCTTTTTTTCTTCCATGCTAAACCTACTGATGCACAGAGCTGTAGAAGATTTAATTTTGTTTCATCCTTTTTCATGCCCCTCAACTCAATTAAGGCGAACCCAATTGAATTGATGTAATTTTCCAGACAGTGGTATAGATTTTGAGCTGTAGGAGAGAATAGGACACTGTGAGCCAGGCAACATAGATCTTAATCTTAGCTTTGCCATTAATTCTGCAATGCAAAGAAAATTACATGCAAGACCTGTTTAATTTAAAATGAGATACAACAGAAAAATTTTCGTATGTCATTTCCAAAAATGTAAAATGAGTATGATGATACTATAGTCTGTTCCACCATGTAGACTATTTAATTAATAATTTTTATCTTCAAAAAAATTTCAGTCTTTTCATAAAAAATTGTGGGGACAAAAAAGTAATGTGATATTTTAATGTGTTTTGAGATTCTAATGTTTTAAGTGCAGCTTTGAGGGTCTGATAGCAGCTATCTTTTTCCTCCACAGAAAATGGAAGCTACCTATTATGATAATATCATGGAACAGCAGCGCTTAGAACCTGAGTTTTTCAGAGTTGGTTTTTATGGTCGGAAATTCCCATTTTTCCTGCGGGTAAGCCAGACTTATACAAAACATGACAAAGTGACCTGGCTCCGAGTAGCAGTTAAGGCTTTGTATTTTTGTTGTGGAGATATGATGTCTGCCATTCAGCTTATTTTTTTACGCCTGCACAAATAGAAGCAGCTTTCTGGCTGAACTGAAGGATGTGGTCCATTGGGAATGTTCTTAGGAACAGAGATCAGAAATTTGACTCATGCCTATGTGTATTTTTGACGATCTGCAGATGCAGCACAAATTGCCTCTATATTAAGCAAAATGCTGTATTGCAGCAATGTTGGGTCATTACTCAAATAATTTTCATCATCTCAAATTATCATGCTTTGAAAAGTCTCACATGACAGAATGATTCTAATACCAGATTGATGACTCTCTTACGCTATCTACAAGTGAAAATTTCCTCTCTCTTCAACAAAAAGCCCAGCAGCTTCTCTGGATACGTCCTCACTTTGAGCTTATTGTCTGCTGGTGTATACAGGATCAGGTCTGCAATCCATTTAAAAAGTGAAATTATCTTATTTTCCTAATGAGGAATCAAACTTAAAATGGATACTTCTACATACAATGTCTTGTTGCTAGTTCAGAGCAAGGAAGGAATATAATCTGACAACTGCTGTAAGAGCTGTCTGAAAATTGATGATAGATGCCATCTAGCTTGACAGGACAGCTAACTTAAAGCGTGCTTTCAAGGACTGGAGGCGCATGTTTTGTGTTCTCTTTAAAGAAATGGTTTGACAGGAGATGGCACCACTCTTGCATTATACAGTAAGAAGCTACAAAAAGCCAAACTGTATACCATTTTGAAAATGGCACTCTTAAATTTCCCTCTGATTACTAAGTTTTTTTTTTTTAACTAGGGTTTAAACATTGGTGTTTAATTACAGTCTTTTAATGGAAACACAGGCAGGGGACGTAAAGGCAAGCTGGAATTAATCAAGGTGAAAATACTTGTGGATAATGGGTGGCTTCATGTTATTCCAAGGTGAAGTTGAACAGTGCCATAATGTAGCAGCCTGAATCAGTGTGTAGAACACACCTGCAGAGGAATCTGAGGAAATGACAAGTGTTGCAGTATGGAGCAGTAGCTACCCTTTCATGAAGATCTCCAGAGAAAAGTGACAATTTCTTTTTTTATATCTAACAACAGATGTTTCAGAAAATGAATGATAACAAAGTCATTATGGCACATAAATGTTCCTACGTTTGAAGTAGTATCAGTGAATCTAGCTTATCTTACTATATCATGGATCCTACAGTTTTATCTTGGATCCTGCATGGCCTATGTGTTTAACACTGCACGAGTTTTCAGTGCACGGCACTTACTCTTTGCAAAACAGTGTAACAATATGGATACTTGGCTGGAGACATTAACAGCGAACATGAGCGTACATAATTATAATCCTTGTTAATTCTGCAATTATATTTGGTAGCAGTACTTCTGATAGCAGATTATTAATGTAGCAATCTCATTAAAAGTCATCCTACTCCTTTTTCTCTCTAATGATCCATACAGCATACACATTGCAAAGCACAGACTAAGCCCATTAGCAATCACATCAGCACGGATCACTCTGTAAAGAGATTGGAAGCAGCTATTCTAGAGAAGAAAAAGATTTACATGCATTTAAAATTTTCAAATTGATATGGGAGTGGTTTAAAGTGATCAAATAACTCTTTTCTCATTTATTTTTCTATTGATGTATAGCTTAAGACAGAAAATAACCACTCCTTTCTACATCTTTGATTTTGAAGACTCTTTGTTGAGAAAAGTAATTGTTCGTGCTTCTATGAATTTTGCATCTATTTCTAGCCTTCCTACATAAGTAAATTAAAACTGTCCATGTCTTCCACCTACCAGAAGTTCAAGTAAGGCCTGACAAGCCGCATTCTGAGATCTTGTGTTGGCATCTGCCTGAAAAGTCTATTAAATTTAGCTTTGAGGTGTTTTCAGGGCATTATTTTTAGAATCACAGTAACTTTATTTATAGGCTTACAGTTTTCTGGATTGCTGCAATCAAAAACTAAAATAGAGGATGCAGTAAGTGTCATGAAGAGATTATCTTCAAACATGAACTCACTCCAAATTTAATAATAGCTGCAAAGTTTGAGCATTACAGACTGAACTGCCAAGATTCATCATGCAGTTTTTCTCTAAGTTCATTGGTTGCTGTGACTGATGCATACAAAGTGACATATGTCACAGCTGGAACATGAGATCTGTTCCATAAAGTTTAAATGCAAAGCCAAATATACCTGCACTCCTTGGCCATGTTTTATGATCAGGTTTTGCTGCTTTCTCTTTGATTTTGCTACAAGATCAAGAACTGCTTGGACAGAACCCTTTTCCAGAGCAATTAACAAAACATTATTGCATATACTGCAGCTTCTAAATGCAAGAAATAGAAGGGGGGAACTGTTCTTGTTTGCTGGGATTTTTTTTTGTTCTTTTATGAAGGTGAAAAATCTTCTTGTACTTCTAGTTATTCTTATGTGTATGAGAGTTAAAACTACCAGAATTAGAGAATTTGCCTGCTTTGATTGGTCTTGCATCAGGAGACATTAGCACCAATCAACATTGTGTTTTGTGGTAATAGGGTAAAGACACTGGAATACAATCTTTATGACACTGAGGACTTTAGAAATCCTGTATCTTGCTGTTCAAAGTTTGAGGTGGCTCAAAAAGCATCCAAGAACTCTGCACAATTGGTTTAATGCCTCAAGAGGCATATCTAAATGCAAGCTTTCCATTACTAGCAGAAGCGAAATTTTGTTCATCAAGAAGAAAGTCCTTTTAGGGCTGAAGGGGAATTTGCTAAGTGACCACTGAGAACTCTTGATAAGGCTTTTCCGTATTACTCCCCTATAGACAGGGGAGTTCCTGAGAATGTATTGTTCAACATAATCAGAGGTGGATTGTATGGCTATGACAATACAGCAATGATTACAAATGACTTTTGCGAACAGTTTGTTACGACTTCTCTCTAAGGATAACTGATAAATTGATAAACATGTATCTCCCTCTGTTCTGTGAAATCCTCAGGACTTTTATCCATCTGGTGTAAACTGTATTTGACAGCAGCTTTCCCAGTGTAGAACAGCCGAGCTGGTGACTTAGTCTTAAGTTTTGGTTGATAAGTTTTCAGTATAGTCCAATTAAAAAATAGTCCCTTTTCAGTCATCTGAAAAGCAAGTAAGAAAAGACAATAGGACTGAATGCTATGTAAGTATGGATCAGAGGCATCTTTCTGTTGAGAGGTCAGTGGAATAGTCTACTTATTCATCATTTCTTGATGAAATACACTGTACAGAAAAAGGAAAAAATAAAATATGTCAGCTGTGTTAAATGCACATTTTACTCTCACATTAGCATATTGACATTGTCATTTATCTTTGTTTTTGAAGCAGTAAAATTTAAAGTGAGATAAAAGCCAACAGAATTTAACTTACTTTTAAGGAGACTAATTTATACTTGTCCTTCTTGCAGAATAAAGAATATGTATGTCGGGGCCACGACTATGAGAGGCTGGAAGCCTTCCAGCAGAGGATGCTGAGTGAGTTCCCACAAGCCATTGCAATGCAGCATCCAAACCACCCAGATGACTCTATATTGCAGTGTGATGCCCAGTGTATCCTTCAGTGAAAGGGTAAACTATGATTAGAAGAACGGTGGTAGAGCACAGAGGAGGAAGGTATTGAAAAGGTCATCGACTTGGGTACCTCAGTTCCTAAGTGTCTTCAGTAGAGCTGGATACACTAACTGGTTCATTGCACTATGTATTGTTGGAGAGAACTGTCATCTTTTATTCAGGGAGTAATGCAGGTCGTATTCAATGTGTAAGAGAAATAGCTGTGCTTGGTCACATCCGTGTTTTAACCTTTACCAACAGCATTGCCATAATGCATGTTTTGTGTCATTAAAAGTATTCCCGACACCTTCTCTTGGAGAACATTTTGTGGGGAACAGATATTAATTCCAAAGTGTTACTTTCAATAGTGTTTATTTTTCACTTTTTTTTTTTTTTTTTTTTTTTTTTTTCGGTCTTCTTTTTTTTTAAACTGTTTTTTTTTTTTTTTTTTTTTTTTTTTTTTTTTTTTCCTTTTTTTTTTTTTTTTTTTTTTTTTTTTGCAGTCTCCCTTTCTTTTAAACTGCTGAACTCTTTTATACCTAAGGCTTTGAAACTCATTCTTCTCATTTGGCTTGTGTGACAACAGCAAGGATATTGCGCAGGACTTTAACCATAAGGATATTGTCAGCAAGTGAAATCTCCTGAAATTTGCTGGTGTTTTCCACTTGTCTTTCAAGGCACATGCTTTTCACTCTTCTTTGCTGTATAACACTGATACTTTCATAGACAAGAGGGGTTGTTTGTACATGTATTTGGGTGATTTATGCTTGCAGAGATCTTGTCTGTAACACTGAGGTTAAACCATTTTAATTAAACTGGACTGTAAATTGATGAGATTAGGACAACTTTGGTTTGTAGACAAAGTTGAAGTATCTAAGGCGAAATTTATCAAAGGTAAATATTAGATATTTAGGTACCTAAATACATCAAGATCTACTAAAGTGCCTGCACAAATGAGGTACCTAGCTTTAATTAAAACTAATAGGAATGGGATATTTTGCCTGCTGTAGATATTTTGGATCTTACATACTCTCTGCATCCTCAGGTATCTTCCTCTTTGGTTAATCTGGCTGTGAGGTACTATAACTCTGTAGACTCTCCTAGTAGTTCTAGTCTAGTGTTCTGTTGTTTCACTTGCAAAAGAGTAGTGCTGGAAAACAAAGAGGAGTGTGACTTTCTGAATTCACCATCCTATTTACTTCCACAGTAGAGATAGCTTTCCTGTTTGATGCCCCGTGGCTTTCTTTGACTACATAAATTACAGATCTACAGATCTATGCAGTGACTCCCATCCCAGACAATATAGATGTGCTGCAAATGGACCGCGTCCCTGATCGCATAAAGAGCTTTTACCGAGTCAACAACATCCGGAAATTCCGCTATGACAGGCCTTTCCACAAAGGCCCAAAGGACAAGGAGAATGAATTTAAGGTAGAAGCAGCGAATAAGCAGTGTTTAAGTGTTAATCTCTTCAAGGCAAATACTGTCTTATTATTTTATGCTGATACAGTCTGTCAAGTAATCCTAATTTGATGGCCAAAGATACTGTAGTAACTCAAATAACAAGTAGCTGTTGAGTCCGGTGTTTACACACCTGACCTGATTAAAGCACTGTCCAATTTAAAGGTGAGTTATTTTAGTGCAGGAGAGATGCATTTTGAAGCAAGGATGGATTTTTTTGTTTGGCTGGAATTTTTTTCTTACTGCCATGTACATCCGCAATGTCTTCTTGGTTCTCATGACAGAATTGGTGGTCAACCTTTAAAAATTAACAGAAATCTTGAATGTGTTGCTTTAGAGCATACTGAATTCTGGTTTTGTTGTTCAAGTGACTTTCAGCATGACATTCTGCAAAGTAAGTTAATGCTCAGGAGGTCAATATATTCTTTTCTGAACTTCACCCCCTTAGCACCTGTAGTAAGCGTACAGATGATATGACTGTGATTCACTGTGTACCTCACATCCTCAATTACTCTTTGCAGAGCTTGTGGATTGAACGTACCACTCTGACCTTGACTCACAGTTTGCCTGGGATCTCTCGTTGGTTTGAAGTGGAGAGAAGAGAACTGGTAACATTCATAGCTCCTGTAATTGGGGTTTGAAATGATGAGTTCCTGAGGACATGGATAGGCAACTTAAAACTCCTTTGGCTGAAATCTTGCAGTTTAAAGTGAAGAAGTTTACCAATGATTAAGTATGTCCTTTTTCCACCACTTAGTCTAAATAATTGCTGAATATAACCAGGGGAATTATGTGAGGGAAAATGACAGTATAATGGAGACAGTGCATTGTTGCCGTATCTTCAGTATACAGAAAGAAGTTATCGCAACCCAGTGACCTGAAATACAGCATTGCTAACAGTAAAGTTCATTAATGTAGCTAATTTTCTACAAAGCAGTAAAAACTAAGAGACATCACTGAACAATCCTAGAGTATCATTTCATTACAAGTAAGATAATAAATCTCAGTGAAGTGTCCATGGAATTAAAGTATATTTTATTGCCTTTGAGGTTGAAGTAAGTCCTTTGGAAAATGCCATTCAAGTGGTTGAGAACAAAAACCAGGAGCTGAGAACACTGATAAGCCAGTACCAGCATAAACAAATGCATGGTAACATTAATCTTCTCAGCATGTGTCTGAATGGAGTGATTGATGCAGCTGTTAATGGGGGAATTGCACGATACCAGGAGGTAAGCCAGGCTATGCTTCTGAATTTAGTATCATCTTTTTTCAATTTTATTTCCATTTCTGTTTCAAAGAGAGTATGACTTAATAAGATAAGACATTTTCATGCACATTCTCTAAATATGAGGTTAAAACCCCTACTTGGTTATTCTGCATCAGTGCTCGCATAGCCACACGTCAACAGGAGGATCCAAAGGTGGAGTTGGGATATTGCATTGAGGTAGGTACGGTTGACAGTGGGGCTTCTCAAGAATGAAACTTGGCTTACCTGGAAATCCTGACTTAGCAGGTAAAAGAGTGAAGCAGATTTTTTTTTTTATACTGCTTACATTATAAATCCATTTTGCAATAGAGGCAGTGGGACTCATAGTAATTGAGACTGATTGGGCCTGTAATCAGGAAAAGCCGCTAATCCATGCTACTCAACCATTATCTTTGCTAGCCTAATTTCAGACTCACTGTAACCCTAAAATGATTGTATATGCAGTGTGTTATCTGGCATAATTTTTGGCAAGCTGTTACTTAAACTCTGCATTGCAAAAGATAAGTCTAGGGTGAAATACTGAAAAATGGCAGCAGTGGTCCAGGGATGTGGGATATGTCTTCCCTACAGAGCCGTGAAGAGAACGCTCTTCATTAGTTACCACTTTACTCACTTAATTCCTTTATGTGAAGGAAACTATGTAAAATTCGAATAACTGGATGATACAAGGCTTAGTGGTATTGCTGATCACTATCACATGGGGAGACTTGGTCACATTCCTGATTCAACAGAATTATCAAGGTTGCTAAAATTGTACTGAAGCTTTACCTGGATTCCAGAGTGCTAAAAGCAATAAAATTGAGCTGCTGCTGTTAGCTTAGTATATTTAGTTTTCCTAAGATTTTTGGACCTTTTCCTCTCATCCTCTGACACCAAGTTACAATGAAATCTCTTCCAGTCAGCAGAAGGCGCTTTTTTTTTCCCCTACAGGCCTTTTTTGATAAAGATTATATCACAAAGCACCCTGGAGATGCAGAGAAGATTACACAGCTCAAGGAACTCATGCAGGAACAGGTACTGTTTTTCAGATGCAAAAGAACATTGCTACAGTGTCTGCATTCATCGGCAGTCAGTCTAAACATATCGGATCCAACTGATTCATTCTGAAGCAAAGAATTTTGGTACAGGAGATCTAAAGTACATTTAAACAAAAAAGAGGGGGGAGATGGCCAAGGAGTTTATGAACAAGCCATTCACCTTATGGGACGTGAGATGAAGCTTAGCTAAAAGTACATGCATTTTGTTGTCTCCATTTATTATCCAATAGACATCTTGCCATGTTTCAAGCCTGCCATTCATTTTTGGCATTTTGAATTATGTCTTCCCAGTAAATTTCAAAGATAATCAAAGTCAGGAGAGGCCAGGTCAGGCTTGAGATTAAACTGGCAGAGCTACATAGGAAAACTTCATGCCTATTTATATTATCTGCAGTTTTATTTTTCCTTAGTGTCTCCATGAAACAACTTGGTAGATAAAGCTAGCTGGATGCTTTAATGGAAGTGAAATCAGAAAATTGCATCCCTCTTAACTGAAAGTTTGGCAAGATATGCCCCATAAAACAATGTGTCCAAGTCTGAATAGAGCTACTAGGCCTGTTTCTTCAACAAATCACTTAACTGCAGTTCAGATTTCCCATCTGTAAAATAACGATGATGCTTATCTCCATTCAATCCTCAAGAGGATGTTTGAAGATTAATTAGTTATTGTACAGACTTTGTACTACCACACTTTGGATCACGTAGGGAATTATATACATCTCAAGCCTGCTATCATTACTATTTTCTTTCATCTGAGAGCTTATATAATCTTATTCAATCACTAATATTATATGTTTGACCTTTGAAAAAGTGACCTTTAAAAATAAATAATGAGCAACAGAAAGAGTGACTATGCATGCCACACTGCCACTGTTCAGCTCAATTACCAGAAACTCCTTTTCGAAATCTCTGTTGGCAACTTTGACCCGTTCTCTGACACTGGGTGGAAGGAATTTTCTTTGTCACAATGAATTATCAGTGTGAGGACGTAATGCTGTTCACTCTGGAGAGAGAATCAATCTGGTAATTTTTTAGTTATCTCCTAACAAAAGTAATCCAATATGACATAAATGTACTTGTCTCACACTTAAAGTACTTGTTAAAGTAATATGAACTTGCCAGGTCTCCTAGGCTTGCTTAATTATCGGCAGTCTTGTAAATGAATAGTGGCATATTTTACAGTACTTTCTTGCACATTGACAGAACTGCAGGACAGGCTTCTATTCTATCTCTTAGACACGATTTATTTGGTTTTGTGATGTTATGTTTTCTTTTTAACAGGTACATGTCTTAGGAGTGGGTCTGGCAGTCCATGAGAAATTTGTACACCCAGAAATGCGTCCCCTGCATAAGAAACTGATAGACCAGTTCCAGATGATGCGATCCAGTCTGTACCATGTAAGCTGGCAGTCATTTTTCCCATTTTGAATCATGCAGAGTTATGATTAAACTTCTATCAGTTGCAGTAAGGTTCACAAAAGAACTGGACTGATACAGCATTGATTGAACCTACTGGATTGCCAAATTACCAAAAGAATCGTTGATTTTTATGCAAGAAGGAAGTCCCAGTAAGTCTGTTAACTTAGCCTTTAATGTAAACTAGAATTTTTAATATTTTTATGTTCTTTGTTGTATCACAAAACAATTGTAAAGCTTCATTTTCAGTTACTGTCTTACATAACAGAAAATGATGTAAAACAGAGGAAGAAAGATTAACAGAAAGCGTTAGATGCTCTTCAAAAGAACTGCCGTGATTTAGAGTAGCATGACATGGATTAGGCCCTCCAGAAGTGTTCTTATATAGGTAGAGACAGAAATTCCTGTTGGTTACTTTAGGCATCCAACTCTCGTGATAAGGACACGCACTATTATGGGTCTATAGTTTCTATATAGTCAACGGAACTGCCTCCAGAGCTCGGTTCACACCACCTGTTATATACCAGAAGTATATCATCCTCTAGGAATGATACCTTACCTTCTGTGTGTGCTCTGCTGTACATTAGTATTCCATGACAATATACTTGAGACATCTTTGCCAGGTGGGTCTCAGAAATTTGCAGTGCATTCCCCTCTTCCTGGTATAGTGAAATCTTTATGAATACCTGGACACTACCTTGAACATTATCACAACCAAACTAAAGGATATCTTTCTATAATGTAAAAGCATTATTTGAAATATATGTGTTAGCACTTTACTTTCCAACTGGAGTATGTATTTTCTAAGGTAGCTTCTAACTTGAAGGCTTTTTTCTCCATTCTTAGGAGTGAACACTATGCAAGGATGGCCAGAAATAACAGCACCAGAATTTTAAAATACGGCCTTTCTCTTTCAAAGCAGATGAGAGCCGTACAAGTTGCAGTTGCCAGTTTGAGTTCACTACCTTTCCTGAGAGTTTGGATAAGATCTGTATTTTTGAGTCCGCATTTCTTTTTTGAAAAATGTAGGTGGCTGTAATTTGGGCCACACTATGCCTCTATTTTCCTCCCAAATTCCTGAAATAGTGGCTAGAAAGTGTCATTGGAAATAAACAGAGAATAGGGTTGTAAAGCACTGAAGCTCTTTATCCTGTGGAAATGCAGGATAACTGAGGATAACTGTAGAGAACATGGAAACAGATCAGGATATTCCTGAGAAGAAAACTTGTAATTTTCCATGACCAACTCAGCTAAAGTATGTTTCCTTTGCAGGAGTTACCTGGTTTGGATAAGCTGAGTCCGGCCTGTTCTGGCACTAGTACACCACGCAGCAATGTTCTGGTTTCACATGGACCTATGAGCCCAGAGAGCATAAAGCTGGTGCATCGACACAGGTACCCTGTTTTTTTGTGCTGAAATATCTAGGATCTCTGCACACTGTTGCATTAGGATTCAAGGATCTAAGAAGTGGTTAACAGTACTGCAGGAGGAGCCGGATGAGTTTTGGCCGAAGTGTCTTCCGTCTTCATTCCGTGCTAATTATTAAAGTTTGATTGAGGATTGGAATCAAAAAGTTGAGAAATCCAATTTGCAGCAAATGCTAAACACCTCCAGATGTTACTCCATCACTTTACTTACTGTAGAGGCAGAAACACACATCTGCCACTCAGATCTCCAGATTCAATCTGACTTTGGAGGTTCCAACTTCTCCTACTTCTGTTACGCAAACAGCAAATAAATGCGTCCTTATCTACCATAAAAGGAAAATTTTATTGCTTGGTTTAGAACCCAACTCCGTATGTACCCATTTTTAAGGATCAAAAAATGTTCACATCATTTTTTATAATTCTGATCAAATCAGAACCCAAATATAAGAAAGGCTGCCAAGGTGTTTTGATCAGAATACCAAAAAATAGCTCAGCCTTCACAGAAACACCTGAAAATGTGGCTGCTTATTCAAACTGAATACCCATCTATAAAAACTGAGATAATGATTGAGGATAAAAATTGGGATTTTCAGGGCAAAACAGTGTTTTTGTATCCAGCCAAAATTGCTTATTTAAAAATGTACATATCCATGCCAGCATGAAAAACAGTGACAGGAATGTCACTGAAGTTACGAAATTTTAATTGTTCTTCCGTGTTTATTTCTCTTGGTGGGTCCACATAGCTTAGCTCTTTTTAAAGCCTGGCATGAAAAGCTGCAGAAACTTGTTCTTTAGTACATGAATTCAGGATGGTGACATTCTTTTTACTATTAAAATTGAGTAGCTCTTATACTACTTTAGTGGCTTGGCAGTTGACAATTGGTGTCTGGGTGATAAATTTTCTTCCTCAAAGTTCCTCACTTTGTAAAACCTTTTTTAGTTCTTAGGGCAAACTAGGGAGATTCTGTAGCGTACAAAATATGTATTTGTGTACGTGATTCAGAGTGACAAAAAATTAATTTCATGAGTGAGATCAGGGTGCAGCCTGCACACCAGCTGTGCTGTATTAATTTACTGTCATCTACAAAGTTGCCTTCAACTGCAATGCTGAGGTCTGACAGATGCAATAAGGAAACTGTATTTTGACCTGTGTGCCTCATGCTTGGCTTCCTTTGGAATGTTTTTTTAAGCTGCTCCCACTCATCGTACTTCAGCATTAAAAATGAGCGTGTTTTCAGAATGTTCTGTTATAAACAAAACAAATGTGCACCCAGCATCATGACATGATGTTAACCTGGCTTGGGATTCTGAAATTCTACGTCCTACATACTATGCTGTCTTACATGTAGCCTTATTGTCACTTCTTTCGTATTTACTCACATTCATGGATTGTTTAAGCTTATTCAGCCTGATTTTTTAAAAGTGTTTGACGTCTAGAGGTAACCTAAAGCAGTAGGAAACTGCAGGTACTTTCTAGCTTGGAAAAAATCAGACTTCACAAATTAAAACACAGGTTCAAAAAATAATGATGCCCTTGTTCTGTCTCTTGTTTTTATTCCAGCCCACTGAACTTGCTTGGTTCAGTCCGACACTCATCATCCTCTCTGTCGTCCCACACCTCCAGCGAAACAGGAAACCTGGTTATCCTAACAGACAGTTCTGTGGGGGAGACTGCTGAGGATATGTACCACATGCAGGTACAGCTCCAGCACAGCCAGCAGTGGTTGTTTGAAACAGCACTGAATATGCTCTGGAGGGTTATGCTTAGGAGGAGTACACTCTACCTATGCACATGCTTGGATCTGTCCTGTGATTTTTTTTTCAAAGAACTGAATAGGTAGAATCTAACATTGTTCAAGAAAGATGACAGAGTAATTGAGCTAGGTTTACTTTGGGGAGAAATCTTCTGTATTTGTACAGTGAAAGCTGCTACTGTGGTCCAAGATCATTGTTTTGCTTTCAGAAAGTGAGATTTTAGTCGGCACGTTATTTATATAACCTGTTCAACATATGCAATTAGTATTGCTCTTGGTTTGTGGGAGGGTGAAATGAGTCCCACAGCCCTGAGTGCAGATTTATAGTGGCCTGCACTGAAGCTATTTTCTAGACAGAGGCTGCACTAGGTGATCCGAGACAGGTACATATCTTATGCACTGATCCGCTCAGTTCTCTCTTGATGATTTCTCTGCCTCCTGCAGCTTGTTTACCCTAACTCCAGGTACCAAGGCTCAGTAACCAACATCTCTGTTTTATCCTCGTCCCAGGCTAGCCCTTCCACCTCAAGCCTGAGCTCTACTCACTCGGCACCGTCCCAGATGATTAACTCTGCCCCTTCCAGTGCTCGAGGTAAGAATGGATGGACCCAAACAAGCATTAACTGGACCTGCAGGCATCCGCTAAACCTGGCAATGTTGTTGACTTACTGGTGAAAGACCACCTACACTGAAATATACCACTGTTTCTCTCTTGGAGCTGTAAATGCCTCTTCAAAAACTATTTCTTAAAAAATATTTTTCATTCTCCAGAAATGGATTTAATAATTTTTTTCAGCAGTATTTGGAATGTATCTGTAATACATGCTGGTTTCAGGCAGATGAATTTCATAATGATTTCCATTGTTCCACCACAAAATTGTGGCAGGCAATCTAGAGGAAAACAAGAATAGTCTTTGGTACAGTACTTAAAAGAGAGAGATCATGAAGACAAAGGCAAAAAAATCATTTTACATGTTTAATGAAATTATGGCACAAAAAAGAACTTGAGGCAGCTTAGCAGAAATGTATGTATACAAAAGTATATGTATACGATGAATGTTGAAAGATAAGAATTTTAAGTACTGGAGTTAAAGAAGGGCTTCCCTGCTGGGAAATTCTTGAAGAAAGGAAAAATGTAAAAACAGACTCTAGGGGTACTCATGTTGCCTTTGTGTTACAGCAGCTGGTCTTGATGTTGCTAATCATTTTCTTCCCAAGCCTCAGAGCTGAAGCAAAACCACTCCATGCAATCTACTGACTTTGGTAACTTCTCTTCAAGTTTTTTTTCCCCTCTCATTTTGGATTCTCAGTTGCAGGTTCAATTTTCTACATCTCTTTTCACAGGTGTCTGAAGAAGGTATCCAGGATATAGTCAGAGATAGAGGTTGATATTTAAATCTTACCCCTTTTTCCCATACAGGGGAACTGTATGTCTCCTTATGGACAGAGAATATAGAGAAGGGCCCTTTCTCTTGGGCCAGCTTGGGGCTTTTTTCTCAATCTTGCAGTAAAATCTTAATTGACTGGCTGTTGTTATGACACAGATGCATCAAAGTGATTTAATTGAAGGATCAGATGGAGTAGGAAGGTGAGAAGTGGACCTCTTCAAATAAAGACATACAGCTTCACTAATTACGAAGGGCTGGAAGGCAAATAATGACAATTCAAATAGTAAAGTAACCAGATGAAACTGGCATAACAGGAAAGGAAAGATGGAACCGAATACAGGGCTGTCATGTCAGGAAGACGTCCTTAAATGGATGGGCCTCAGCTGGCATGTGAGGTCTGAATCTTTTGGGGGATTTGAGGGGTTTTGGTGTTCATAGTGTTTTGGGCTATTTTCCCGCTTTAAAAGTCCAGTGCTCACAGTGACAGGCTGTGAGCTTGATGACTTCACAGCATCACCAACTTCCCTCTTTACTGGATTCTTTGCTGTTGCTTAGAAACCAAAGTGATGAATGCTACAAAGGGTATGGTGCTGATGGATGAGCCAACAGCACCTCCCAGAGATGAGAACTAGACAGTGTAAATGACCACAAATGAGGAAACAATAAGAAAAGTAATGATTTTGAATAATACTTAAATATATATATATATATTTTAT